TGCAAGGTCGAATTCGAGTCATGGTAGTGGGAGCGGGGAGGAAACATTTAGGAACTAGAGGAAAGTTGTATTTTCCATCGTTGTTAAATCACACCCTGACTGGCTCATCTCAGGGACTACAGTCTTATGGGAATCGGAAGCCGCATTTTTGTCCCAGAAAGTATCTAGTGGTTTTAAGCTGCTAACCTTGTAGACAGCAGCATAATGAGCAATCCATTATGCCACCGCTAGAGCTCCTCTGTAAGCTTGAGTTATTAACAAATACAGTAGAGTGCTGAGATTGTATTTTATTTTCCTTAATGAAATTTTATTTTCTCTAATTTACAAGGATATAGCAAATAATACATTGAGCACACAAAATATGTGTTAATCAACTGCTTGCTATCAGTAAGGCTCTGTCAACAGCAGATGGGTTTGTGGGAAGACAGAAGTTATATATATGGATTTTCAACTTCACAGGGGCTTGGAGTCTATAACCCCTTCATTACTTAAGAGTCGACTATACCAGATGGCAAAGACTCTTTGCAGATATGACTATGTACACTGAGCTGTTTACTGTTTTTTCTATGCTGGCTTATAAAAAGGAACTTTAAAACACAAAACATTCACCAGAATCCGGAACCAAAAGCACTTTCAAGAACTTTCTAGTAATGATCTGCTTAATCTCAGCAGTTGCTCATTTTTCACCCATTTTATTATCTCTGAAATCATGATGCTTCTACTAAGAAAGCAGTGTGCCATAATTTAAGTGGTGTTTTTGTCTTCATAGAAGTTATATTTTTAATAGAAGAAGCACACCAGCCTATGTGATCACGAGATGTCAACAGTATCAAAAGATCCAAAACAAACAATTATATCGATGTGAAAGAGGGGGTTTGGAGCAGAGACCCAAAGCCCATCCTATAGACAATTGGACACCCCCCCACAGCACGGTTACAAGGAACGATGATTCAACCAAGGTGCAGTATAGCACCGACGAAACACATCTACCTTGTTTCCACGAAAGTAAGGCATCCCCCGAAAATAAGACCTCCTTAAAGTTTTGTCTCTCGCGGAAATATAAGGCACCCCTGAAAATAAGCCCCCCTGAAGCTTTGTAACTCTGGACTCTGGACTGTAGGAGCGGGCACCGCCACGCAGCTCAATGTTGGCCACAGCACAGCCGGAGCAGACAGTAAGTGCGAGGTCTCTTTTAATAAAACAATAAATGTGTACCATATTCTTCTTCATGGAAAAATAAGACATCCCCTGAAAATAAGACCTAGCGCATCTTTGGGAGCAAAAATTAATGTAAGACACTGTCTGACTTTCGGGGAAACAGGGTAGTTCCTGTATACTTCCTCCCCCCAACTACCATGACCCAGTTCTACCTTACAGATCCAGCTAGACTGGAGTACACACATTGGTACAGATAAGAGCTCTCGACACATGGAATTCAGGACAGATAAAATCCTCAGGCACAGTCGTGGGAGTGGCAATATCATGAGGGTAGAGGATGGTAGGGGTCGGGTGGGAGAGCAAGGGGGAACCCATGGGAATGAGTAACATAAATGTGGGTGAAGGGAGACAATGGACAGTGTAAGACATGAAAACAACAATAATAATATACAATGGATCAAGGATTCACGAGGGTAGGGGAGGAAGAGGAAAAGAGAGGAGCTGATACCAAGGGCTCAAGTAGAAAGAAAATGTCTTAGAAATGTTGATGGCAACATATGTATAAGTATGCTTAAAACAACTGAATGATAGATTGTTATGGGATTTGTTAGATCCCCCAATAAAATGATTAATAATTTTTTAAGTTATATATTTTTGTAATGCGGCAAAATTTAGGATCAACAAAATAGAGCAATTCAGAAGAGAGGCCTTAAGAACAAGTCAAGAACACTTTAGATATTTATAAAACAGCAGAATAAGCAACTTATAACTTGGTACCACAAGAAACACAAAACATGTACGATGTCAAATGTTCATGTGCACATGAAACTTCACTGTTACAAAATGGGCAGGATCTAGTTCCAGATTTCGAGTTGTGTTGAATCCCTCTCCAAATTTTATTTAGAAACTATTAAACAAAATCACAAATCAAGTTAGAGACCAGAAGAAATTAATTGGATCATATTTAACATGGGATCTTTTCTGTCCTTCTAATATTAAAAAATAAATATAGACAAAATGAAAAGATTCTCCTTCAAGTCAATTTTTAAACGACAACTCAATAGAACAAAAGGTTAAAAATGAGAAAAGTCAACTCAGGGTTGATATAAGCAGTCAGGAAAAAATATGGAGAGACGCCCACTGTTGCCAACGATCTGAAGAACGAGAGCCTCATAACTAGTATTAGTGAAAATGTAAACTACAAAAATAATTTCAAAAGGCAATATATAGAACATATTATAAGCTTTACGCATCAATTCAAGATCTTATATGTATAAAGAAGTAATATGTAAACCAAAAGGCCCATTTCTAGACCTTGTTTTAAAACACCAAAAAACTGAAAAAAGCATCCATCCAAGTGGGAATGCTTAAATACCATAAGATGAAGCACCCTATGGACTATGAAGCAGCAGTTAAAAAACAAGTAACTAAATGCATCAACGTGGCAGCATTTCCAAGACATATGGTTAAGGTATGAGTAATAAAGCTATAGAACAATTGGTATAGGGCAATTCTAGTGGTGTAAAAAGCAAATGAACGTGTCTATATGGATATTTGTAAATATTTACGCAAAAAAAAAGTAAAGCATGTTCTTATATCATCTATCTTGTATATCCTCATATAAAACTTAATAACAGGAATAGCTAATGAAAAGAAAATGACTTCCGCTTTTTTCACTATTTGAGTTTTACACCATTTGAATGTTTTATATCATTTTCATGTATTACTTATCCTATTATCTTAAAATAAATTCATTATTTTCAACTGACCATCCATGCAGGTAAGGAGCTGGGCTACAATTCTTCGTTCCATATCTTTTGAAGCAACTTCTCTTTTGGGGGTAATAGCATCAATTTCATCAATAAAAAAGACGCAAGGTGAATTTGACTACAAATAAAAAGATCACAAAACAATTGTAAGTATACTCCCTATCTTGCAGAGTAGTTTATAATATATATTTTAATCTTAAAAGTTAACACTCACTCATCAAAAGAATAGTACAAAGAACAGTTATCTAGAGATGGTAGTTCACATATATTACTTCAGATTTTTATTTGACTTGAGAACTAAAATGCTTAAAATGAGGATGGTAAGGGAGTGCACGTAGGGCAAAAGCATTGATAGTTGTTTCATCAGTTCTTGTTTCGTGATAATGACCCAACTGAACTGCTTCAGGAAATTTCACATACTTGCTATGCTATGAAATACAATTCTATAACCAAGATTATAAACTTTCAACTAGAAACTCTAATCATACTATAAAATGTTCTATGAGTCCCTCTACTAATAAAAGGAGCCCTGGTGGCACAGTGGGCTAAGTGTTGGACTGCTAACTGCAAGATCAGCAGTTCAAACCCACCTGTTGCTACACAGGAGAAAAATGGGGCTGTCTGCTCCCATAAAGATTTACAGTCTCAGAAACCCTACTCAGGAACACTAGTCAGAATCAACCTCATGGCAGTGCATCTTACCAATAAAAAATACTCAAGTCCTTCCCTAGAATCTGCTTATAAGAGGCATTTACAAAGCACCAAAAGATCATTTTAAGAAGACACTGAATAAAGAAGATCAACATCATAATCCTTTTATTGGAGATAAATCAGAGTGCAGGCAGAGTAACTTAAGATACAAGGATCAGTTAAAATGAAATTTTAAATAAACATCTAAATTGACAGTTCAATCTTAGTTATTTAGAGGCAGAATAAGGATGACTGGCTTAAAAAGAAAGCTGGCTCTTTTACAAATCCCCATGACGATGTTTGCAAAAGAGCACCTATCCAGCAACCAAGGAGTAAAGAAAGTGACAGAGAGCAGGGAGAGTGGAGGGAGGGTGGGGTAGAAAGGGGAAACCGATTACAGGGATCTACATATAACCTCCTCCCTGGGGGACGGACAACAGAAAAGTGGGTGAAGGGAGACGTCAGACAGGGCAGGATCTAACAAAATAATAATTTATAAATTACCAAAGGTTCATGAGGGAGGGGGAGGGGGAGGGGGAAATATGAGGAGCTGATGCCAGGGGTTTAAGTGGAGAGCAAATGTTTTGAGAATAATGAGAGTAACAAATGTACAAATGTGCTTTGCACAATGGATGGATGTATGGATTGTGATAAGAGTTGTATGAGCCCTCAATAAAATGATTTTTTTTAAAAAGTGACAGCAAAGGTCTTTAGAAGCAAGCACATCGGTATTTGACAGCGGCCTGGAAAACGGAACAGGAACAAGAAGGAAAAAGCCCTTGATGGTCATCAAGAGTCAGCTTGAAAAAAGCAAACAGTTTTCAACAAAGAGCCACTTGATGTGGTGAAATGAAAACCTCTACCTAATTTACAATAAAAAAAGTCCCCAGGGAGCACCAAAAATAAACTTGGGGGCCAGGGCCTGGCGCCCAACAGACTTGACTGGAAAACACTCCTAACGCCAACAAACAGTCCTTGAACAAACAACAAGCTTTTCTTTCTTGTAGTTGTTTTTTGTTGTTGTTGTTGTTATTGGCTTGTTGGTGTTGTTTTGCTTTCTTCTGTTGCTTGGTTTTGCTCTGTCTTGTTTTTGTGCATGTTATTATCTCCGCAGGTCTGTCTAAATAAGATAGGCTGGATGAACAGTCAGAAGGAGAAAACAATGGGACTGACAGTTCTGGGGGGACATGGGACATGGGGAGGTGTGGGGAAAGGAAGTGGTATTAACAAACCCAGGGACAAGGGAATAACAAGTGATCCAAATTGGTGGTGAGGAGGGTGTAGGAGGCCTGCTAGGGTGTGACCAAGTGTAATATAACCGACAGGAATTATTGAAACCCAAATGAAGGCTGAACATAATAGTGGGACAAGAGAAAGGTAAAAGGAAATAGAGGAAAGAGCTAGCAGGCAAAGGGCATATATGGAGCTCTAAATAAAGGCATGTACATATGTAAATATATTTATATATGAGGATGTGGAAATAGATCTATGTGCATATATGTACAGGTTCAGTATTAAGGTAGCAGATGGATATTGGGCCTCCACTCAAGTACTCCCTCAATGCAACACTTTGTTCTAATAAACTGGCATTCCATGATGCTCACCTTCCCAACAATCGCTGAAGCCAAAGTGAGTGCACAAGCAAATGTGGTGAAGAAAGCTGATGGTACCTGGCTATCAAAAATACAGCATTTGGCGTCTTAAAGGCTTGAAGGTAAACAAGTGGCCATCTAGCTCAGAAGTACAAAGCCCGCAAGGAAAAAGCACACCAGCTTCCGTGATCACGAGGTACTGAAGGGATCAGTTATCAGGCATCAAAGAACAGAAAATCTTATCAGTGTGTTCTCACCTCCCTAATAAAATCGCTGAAGACAAATGGGTGCATGAGCAAATGTGGTGATGAAAGCTGACGGTGCCCGACTATCATAAGATATAATGTCTGGGGTCTTAAAAGCTTGAAGGTAAACAAATGGCCATCTAGCTCAGAAGCAACAAAGTCCACATGGAAGAAGCACACCAGCCTGTTCTGTTCGATCACGAGGTGTGGGAGGGATCAGGTATCAGGCATCATTAGAACAAAAAATCATGCCATTGTGAATGAGGGGAAGTGCGGAGTGGAGACCCAAAGCCCATCTGTAGGCAATTGGTCACCCTCTTACAGAAGGGTCGCGGGGAGGAGAGGAGCCAGTCAGGGTGCAGTGTAACAACGATGAAACATACAACTTTCCTCTAGTTCCTGAATGCTTCCCACCACCCCACACTATCATGATCCCAATTCTACCTTACAAATCTGGTTAGACCAGGGGATGTACACTGGTGCAAATAGGAACTGGAAACACAGAGAATCCAGACAGATGATCCCTGCAGGACCAGTGGTGAGAGTGGTGATACTGGGAAGGTGGAAGGAGGGTGGGGTAGAAAGGGGGAACCAATTACAAGGATCTACATATAACCTCCTCCCTGGGGGACGGACGACAGAAAAGTGGATGAAGGGAGATGTCGGACCATGCAAGATATGACAAAATAATAATTTAAAAATTATCAAGGGTTCATGAGGGAGGGGGAAGCGGGGAGGGAGGGGAAAAATGAGGAGCTGATACCAGGGGCTTAAGTGGAGAGCAAATGTTTTGAGAATGATGAGGGCAATGAATGTACAAATGTGCTTTACACAACTGATGTATGGATGGAATGTGATAAGAGTTGTATGAGCCCCTAATAAAATGACTTAAAAAATAAAGGAACCATTTGATTTGGTTTAACCATTTTGTTCTCTGACCCACACATTGTATTGTATGCAATGTCATTGGGTAACGGCTGAAAGGGTGGGTGCAACACCACGTATGCAATGAGCACCTAACTGTCCGACACTGCTCTGGATCGGTTCACAAGCACAGACATTTGGGCAGAGACCCAACTATCTAAAGATACCGTTGGCCTCTGAATCTTCATTCATCATTGTGTTTATCGAACACACAAAAATCCACTACTTGTCCTCTGGTTGTGCAGGCCAATTTAATAATTAAAACAAGTTCATTTTGAAAAACAGGTAAAACCTGAAAGGGTTCACACTTGTTTTAAGTTTCCTTTCCACCCTTCCCTTGCACTTTCCTAGTGCCATCCATATATTTTTTTAAATGCCAGTCTTCACAGCAAACCAAGAAGGTGGCTCCCTATGATCTTGCTCCTTAAAAAAATATTTTTTCAACCAATCACAATGATCGACACATTACCCACCCTGCCCCGCCTCCCAGGCAGACAAACAATAGAAATATGGGTGAAAGGAGACAGCAGATGATGTAAGATATGAAAATAATGATTTATAAATTATCAAGGGTTCATGAGTGAAGGAGAAAGGGAAGAGGGTTAAATGAGGAGCTGATACCAAGGGCTCACGTAGCTAGAAAATGTTTTGAAAGGAAGATGACAACATATGTACAAATGTGCTTGACACATGGATGTATGGATTGTTATAAAAGCTGTAAGAGTCCCCAATAAAATGATTTAAAATGATTTGTTTTTTCTCACACAACACCTGAGGACATGGACCTGGAAAACCTTTATGCTGAGTGAAGTCAGTCAATCACATAACCATAACTATTGGATGAGACCTCCAGTATAAGGACAAACACCAAGAAAAGACAGTTCCTGTTCCCAGTTCATAGAACCTCCTAATCTGGTCTCCCAAGCAACAAGCTAGTGTACCTGCCTAGTGCACAGGAACCATACAAGGGGTACCCAAAAAACCGCAGAATTTTAAACCCCCCACCCTGCTCAAGCTATGTTTAAATTTTTTTACAAAACAACCTTATCTCCTTCAAAGTACTCTACATTATACTTAACACATGTGTCAAATCTGCAATTTCATCCTTGGAAACATTTTTCAAACTCCTAAGTTTGGATGGTTGACAGCTCCTCCCTCGTTTTTTTCTTCACCTCTTCTACATTGTCCTATCGCTGTCCTTTCATGTCCCTCTTCATTCACAGAAACAGAACGAAGTTGCACGGAGCCAGGTTAGGTGAGTAAGGTGCATGGGTTAAGGGTCATGTTGTTTTTTGCCAAAAGCTGGTACATTGACATGGCTGTGTGAGCAGGTGCATTGTCATGGTGGCAAAACCAGCCCGACTGCCAAAAGTCAGGGTATGCAATCTTTTCAGAAACTCTAAATAGAAAGCTTGATCAACAGTCTGACCAGATGCACTACAAGTCAACATTTTCGTCCATTTAGAAAGTTGACAAACATCCAGAACAAGTTTTGTCAACATTTTACCTTTTTGGAAATGAGAAATCTACTCCATAAACTTAGGTTTTGCTATGGCGCGGGCTTTGTAAGCTGTGTGCAACATCACAACAGTCTCTGTGGCATTCTCCCAAGCAGGAAACAAAGTGTCACAGCCACACACTAGTCTCTTACATCAGCCATCAAAACAACCTCGATTCAAGCGAAACTTTTATGACTAAATCCACTGTGATAGAGAGAACCTTCCCAGGCAATGCCACTGGGAGCAAGGTGCTGAATGTTTGTCTACAGGAAAAAATTGAACTACGAAATATCCACTCTGCCCAAAGCAATTCTGTTTTTTGGGGGGAGGGGAGAAATACCCCCTCATGAGATAAGATATAAAGCTCTTTCTCAAACATTAAAAAAAAAATCTGAATTACTGGCAAAATACAATTTTGCTTCCAATTTCCTATCAGGTTCTCCATTGGTGCTGGCCATGTCAATCAGCCTCTTACTTGTTCTGAGTACAAACAGGGGCATAAAAGTGTTTCCCCCTTATTAAAATACCGTATATACTCACGTATAAGCCGAGTTTTTCAGCACAGTTTTACAGGAGTAGAAAGCCTCATCTTTCTCCTCAGGAGCAGCTGGTGGTTTCAAACTGCTGACCTTGCGGTTAGCAGTCCAACTAGTAACCACTGTGCCACCAGGGCTCTTACTGCATCCTTTCTGCACATTTTAAATGCAGTTTTTGTGGTAAAATTAGGTGCCTCGGCTGATATTCAGGCTGGTTTATAATGATTAATGACAATTCAAGCGTACATGATATGACAGCTGTGTATGGCTTCTATGAGTCAGGCAGGACTCTACAGCCCTAGGTTTGATTTGGGAGGGGATCTGGTGTGTTAACTGCTACATTCATGCTTTAAAAGAGTGCTTTCAAGTAATCTCTACAACCTCATGAGATCTGGGTAATGCTACTACTGCGGGTTACTAGTAAAAAAACTTGACTTGGAGCAAGTGTCTTGTCCAACATCATAAAACAGTATGTGGTGGTGAGGGACATACACCCTGTTTCTTTCTGACCTGAAAGTACAGTTAGCCACTACACTCTACTGAGGATAACATTTCATGGGATATCAACATCCTCTTCCTGGGAAGTTCTTAACCTCCCAGATTTGATAACCTGAATCAAAAACTGGGTAAACTCTATCTGTAATTTCTCTAGCTGAGAGGTATCTTTTGACAGCTTCCATTATGCAGAGAAGAATTTCTCTTGCAATTCCTACAGTTGCTTTTCTAATCTAATAATTCTACATGTTAAAAAAATGTGCACGATGCTTGTAAACTTTTATCAAACACCAGTCAAGGAAGGTAAAAGTGAGAAAAAAGATCACAAAGATCACAAAGAAAAATAATTTACTTTAAAGATCACAAAGATAACATACTTTAAACAAATGATTACTGGCTTGGGCAACTCATGTTTACATTTTGATTTCAGATTAAACTGCTTCTCTCATCCAACAATCTGTGGCATTTAACTGTTTTTAAATATTTAACTACCATGAATAACAAATTACAAGTTTGCAAAAGAATGGCCTGCGGCTGGATTAACAAATATGAGAAACCAGGTTCACTAATCTCATCCCACATCTGGACAGCCGTACATTAAAGACATTGGCTGACTCACCACTGCCTGTTCAAACAGCTCTCTCAGTTTCTGTTCAGATTCTCCAGATACTCCAGACACAACTTCCGTAGCGGCTACTTTCAGAAGTGGCAGGTCAAGTTCCTATCAAAATATAAACGACACTGCTCAGACCCTCAAATTTCAATTTCCCTATATTGTCTTCCTCCAGCCGCCCCCTCAAAATTAGATTAAAAAAACAAAAGACTCATGTTCCGAAGACACTTTCTTTTGGTGTTGATGCCGTGAAAAATGTGATTTAACAATCTCTGGGTTTTAATTGAATGTACAAATGTGCTTTACACAATTGATGTATGTATGGATGTGATAAGAGTTGTATGAGACCCTAATAAAATGATTTAAGAAAAAAGAAAAAAAAAAGAATCTAAGCAAAGTCTTTAGTCTTAAGCAGGATGTATTCCTCCACTTAAGACTGAGCAAAATAATTAACTAACCTGTTGGACATGAAACAGCAAGACGTGTGTGACAGCTCTCCCCATGTATCCTGCTAACATTTCTCTATCCTAAACTAACTCAGAACACAGCAAGTTATTAGAAAGAGAAGGCAAACCCATGATGATAGAGGGGAAAAACTACTGTTGTCTCATGGCACGGAAGACAACATGGCTAGCCAACTCTTACTCATTGTTCTGAATACCTAAAATTTTACTTCTTCAACTACGAGTGTATCGAATCTTCCTTGACATCCAAATCGAATTACACAGCTCACGGCCCTCTGCACTTGTCCCACTTTTTATCACTGCACGTCTTTGCAGTATTGTTGTTGTTTTATTTTTTTGCAGTATTTATTTTTATAACTATTTATCATGTGTCATACCTAGACTAAAAACTCCGTTAATGATAAGAATTTAGATGCTGGATTTACCAGTATATCCCAATGTCTGACATACGGGAGTCAAACAATCAAGATCTGTGTGACAAAGGCCTAAAGGAAACAAAACCATCAAGTTCCTGTAGCAATATCACTTCCATTCACAGCACTGGTCTATGAATGATGAGAGTAACATGCGGTACTGCTAACTGAAGTGACTCTGACATTTTGTATGTCACTCTCAAATGCAATCCCTAAAACATCTGACAGGCTTAAATAAGATTGCTAACTTTCTGTTCTGCCAAGTGAATACCTATTATCACTATTTTAGAAAGATAGGCTACTTTAACGCTAAATAATGTTAATAACATAACTGAATTGAAAATTTCAATACATTTAGCTCTATAAAAAACACACCTTTAGCTTTCTTACTTCACTGCTCTTGAGACCACTGATTTAAAGGTGAATCACTGTAAAGAGAAGGAACTAAAATATACACTACATATATTGAATAAAGGGTGTAGGGGTAGGGGAAAGAGGGCTTTTAAAAAAATCAATTTATTGGGGGCTCATACACCTCTTATCACAATCCATATGTACATCCATATGTCAAGCACATTTGTACATTTGTTGCCATCATCCTCAAAACATTTGCTTACTGCTTGAGCCCTTGGTATCAGCTAAGAGGACTGTGTATATACATAGTTACTTTTTAAAGTTCTTGAAAAAATTCCATTAACTTTTAATTGCATTCTCCCATGAACTTTTTGAAGCCCCCTCATATTATTTCACTTACCACACCAAGGTTTGCCATATAAACAATGGCTACATACATTAAAAATAAAATGAATCACATAAAACAGGGTGAAAAAAGAGACAGAGGATCCATTTTTAAGGCCATATACTCCTCCTGATGGAGGCCAAGTCTTGTTGAAGTTGATCAAACAGAAAACGCAGCAAGAATAACAAAAGCTTCAGCAGGCTCACCCCAGCAATTGCATGCGCAAGTAACGTTTTCCCACAGCCTGGTGGTCCGTGAAGGAGAACGCCTCGAGGCGGAATGACACCCAGGTGGTGGTACACCTCTGGGTGACGCATGTGTAAGAGCATCTTGCAGACCTCCTATTAGGGAATAAGCAAGAAAAATATCTTTCACATTCTTTAGAGAGAAATAGTCACATGAAATCAAACATCATCTTCTTTCAAGAGCAAAACATAGGAAAGGCAGTGTATAGGGTTTGGGCCTGGGCCTAGTTCTGGCCTCTGTTGCGTGTTCTGAGCTCCCGATCCGATCCGCAGGCTGCAATCATCGGAGAGGGGGCCGGCTCAGCAGTACAGTAGAAGACCAGCCTAGTGAGGTGCAGCAGAGATGGCAGCCAGGGAAAACCTTACGGAGCACTTCTGTTCTGACACACAACTGTTTTTTGAAACTTGTTTTCCTTACATTTTACTTTCCTCTTAAGAATATACATAGAAAACATATACCCATTTAACAATTTCTAGACCAACCATTTAATGGCACTGATTTCATTTTTCAAGTCATAAAAGCATCTAATCTTTTTCCAAGTCCTTCCTCTCGCTTTAACATAAACAACACAAACAGGTCCCTTAAGTTTCCATGGAATCTTTAGAATTGATGCTGTCAATTTGATTCCATGCAGGTAGTTCTTAAAACGAGTGAAAAAGTCAAGGGAGACCTTTTTGTTCTTTTTGGTTTGATTGCTTTTTCAAAGTTATCAGGAGCTTTAAAAAAGGTTGTGAAAAAATTGAATTAAGAGATAATGCAATGTTCTACAAACTTTGTCAAGCCCCTCACATGTTTCTTGTACATATAAAGAAACTTAAGTAGCATGGTAACTTGAAGACAGATGAGATTGAAAATTACAACACATCCCCCCAGAAGAATTTATTTCAAAGGACGGCATAGAATCTGCAGCTCTGGGAGAGGGACATATCTGATCGGAGCACAGGGGAGCAGATGAAGGGGGAGGAGGAGAGAGGGGAGCACATCCTGGCCCACCAGGCCTTGAGGATGATGTTCCCGATTACAGCAGCCAGTCTACAAAGAGGACCAGATGGCCGGCCCCACTATGAGACATGACGTCCCTCACTGACCCATAGCCCTACAGGGGACAACACCGGAGACACAGTGTAGGAATTGCGCCCCATTTGATCCCGCCACACCACGGCAAAACACTAAGGGGGTGCAACAGAACAGCAAGGGAACACGGCAGCGAGGGCCCCAGGGAATGCTGAAGGTGGACTTCGGGGTCAGGGTGTGGTGCCCCGACAGACTGGACTGGAAAACATTCCTAAAGGCCAAGAAACAGTCCTTGACCTAACTACAAGCTCTTCTTTCTTGTTGTGTTTTGGTGTTTTTTTTGTCACTGGTTTGTTGTTGTTGAGGTTTTGCTATATATTGTTGCTTGGTTTCCCTGTCTTGTTTTTGTGCATGTTATCTCCGCAGGTCTGTCTAAATAAGA